CATGAAATGTGAACACCACCGCGCTGGCGAGGCTCAGACGAGGCGTCGAGGGGACGGATCGGTGGACTACAGATAGGGCGAGGGGAGAGGGAAGGAGGGAGGGGGGTGGCGCGGGGGTCTTGGGCGGCCGCTGTGCCTGTGGGAGGTGGCAGGGTGCGTGGCGCGGGCGGCGCGGCCCTTGAGGCGGGGAAGGCGTGGGGCTGCTGCCTCCTTCCCCCGCCGTGCTGAGGGGCTGCTCGGGGCGGCGGTGGTAGTGGGACTTGGTAGTGGCCTGCGCTTTCCCTCGGTCAGGCTGGGCCCCCCCGGAGTGACCCCTGAGGCGGTAACCGGGGGGGGCTGTGTCCGTCGTGGGGCGCTGTTAAAGGTGCACTGGTGCGTGGGGTTTGTCGCTATCTCTAGGCTGTTACGATGCCCCAGTTAAGGTCAGGGAAAGTTGAGAGAGGGGTGAAGCCACCTGACAGGATGGTCGCCAGACCGAGCTGTCGGGGTGTGGGGGTAGGACGTGAGCCAGGAATAAAGTTGGCAGTCGAGCAGAATCCTCACCTGGCACCAAAGAGAAGACCTGAGCCGCCTTCATCAGCCTGTCTGCAACCTGCCATGCACTCCAGTGTTTCCTCCGAGCAATTTGCTTCTCTTGTGCCCATGCAGAAGAAGCAAGGTGAGAGTAGCCTGAGACTCCCAGGTGAAAAAAACAAGGGGAAACAACGCAGGAGGGCTGCCAGAAGCAACAAGGGTGTAGCTCTGCAAATTTCAGACACTGCTGTGGGTGAAGATTGGCAGGCAGGGACTGTGGCTACAGCAGTGTGCTGGGAAGAAACTGTAAGGAGAGGGACGGGACAAGGTCAACAGCTATTTTTCTCAGGAGCTACTTTACAAAATAAATTCTCAACAGGGATTGAAAGGAAAGAACATAGCTCAGAAGGACTGAATCTCTCAGGTTTCCCAGAGAGTTCAGGGAGCTCAGGAAGAAAAGACATATATTCCTTTATGGAAATAAAATTACAAATCCCATCCTCAGAGGAGGAAATTGAGAGTGGAGAGAGACATGGCATCTCCTATTTGCAAAAACCAGAGGTTCTGCAAGCCACAGAGGGCACATGTAGTACTGAAATGAAAAACACTGATTCCATAACGATACTGCAGATGCAAGTCCCAGATCTTAAGAAGAATTTGGGGACTCAGGAATCCTTATCTGAACCAGAACTTCAGGAAGAGGTAGATATGCCAGAGGAGTTGGATGGATGTTCTTTCATTGGGTCAGGAAAGCTAGTGACACAGGAGAAAGGAAAGAGGTGCTTGAGCAAGAAAGACGGGACATCTCTGATGCAACCAGAACTACAAGGTGCCAGAGATGGCCATAGATCTGATTTACTGGGAGTGAATACACAGCGTCCAGAGTCCAAGAAAGGAGCTGTGAATCGGAGGAAGAGGGTTAGAAATGCACTGGTATCACAGTGCCTGAAGGGTCTAAGTGGCCAAGAACGATCAACAACCAGAGGAAATACGAACAAGCGTTGCACGGAAGAAGAGCAGCAGAGCTCAAACCCTCAGAAAGCAGCAGACAGCCTGGGGGAAAGTAGTAAGTACTTGTGCCCCATTGTGGAAGTACAGCTTCAGAATTTGGGTTCCCAGAACAAGGGGCTGGTGCTGCATAAGACCCCATTAAAAAGGGAAAAAACAGGAGAAAAGAGCTAGTGTCTGCTTTGCAGTACTGTGAATACCAGTATCAGAAGAAAATAGATTTTTAGAAAGTTTTCTTGAAGGAGAAGCGTGATTCTTTGGCTTAAAGGATAGAAGCAGTTTTTTGGCCCAAAGGAGAGGAGACTGTCTCTGCTTTTGGGGGTGGGGGAGGAAGGGGTATTGGCAGCAACAGACCCCGAGTAAGGAATTTTGTAACTTTTTTTTTTTTTCCTCAAAAGCAGTCAGCTCATTTAGGAGTAGAAGATCAGGTGCAAGCAGGAAAGGAGGCAGTAGTTTCAGCAAAGCCAAAATAAAAGGTAGTCAGTTCTTCATTAATCTGTATATTATTTGATTATTTTTTAAGATGTATCATGTCTTGTTCTAGTGCTTGCCCTTACAGGATGCTGGTTTTTGTTTTCAGAACTTTTTGCTTTTTAGTTGCTATTCTCTGCAAAATCCTAAAAGATGTAGAAACAAAGATTGTATTTTGCTGTTTTAAGAGAGCATTGTATCAGACTGGAACAATTTTGAAAGAGGAGTTTAAGTCTTATTTTTTTCAGGGCAGTTGCCTAGAAGACATTTTACTTTCAAGGTGGGTACTTTCAAATTACAAATATTTGCTGTAATTATTAATAAAGATTTTTGTCTAGAAACTGAGGTATTAAAATTGTATCTTATTTTGAAAACTAAGATGTACTAAAACCAACATTCTACTAGTACATTCTTGAGTCTATTCTCCAGATGAAATTTTCAGATGTACATTTTTTTATGTAATCTGTATCTGCTTTGAAATAAAAAGTATTACTTTATAAAAATCAAAATCTTGCCGTTTTCTCTATCTTCTTGGACAGTCTGGTGCATTTGGTTGGACTGTATGTCTCAAACAAATTATATTCTCATGAACAAGCTTTCCTATTACAGAGAATCTACTGTCTAAACAAAAGATATTAAGGCTGAGTGTGCAAACAGCATCTTATATTTTCTTGACAGACTTGCTCTAATTTGGTTTCCACCTATGTTTTAAATACATAACTTCTAGTGTCCTTATGCCACCTTAAGGTTCTGTTCATCTTCACATTTGTTTCTGAAGATAAAATACCATCTGTTAACTGTAAATCTGCTAATAGTGGTAAATCTTTAGAGAAATGTTATAGCCTTATGTCTTTAGTAGCCTTGAATGTTTTCTGTTCTCTTAATAAAATACTAATTAGGGTAGTCTTTTTTTTCTTTAGTGTATTCTTTAATGGCACTTCTTTGTTTTTTAATTAGCAAAGGAAAAAGGGAAAGCAGTTGAGGAAGACACCAGTACACCAGCAGTAAAGAAGCTTAAGACAAATCAAAACATCTCAGAAGATTCCAAGGAAAAGGAACCTTACTACTCTCAATCTCCTACAGTTGCTACTTTAGGTGGGTCTCAAAGCAAGAGCTTTCGAGGCAATTCTGTAACAAAAAAATCTGGTGTGCAGTATAAGAAAAGGAAACCCAGAAAGGACCAAATCAGGTGCTTGCATTGTTCTAGTGTGACTACTACAGCTGAAAAAGTGAGAAATGTATCTGAAAAATGTGATGCTGAACATTGCAGAAATGCCCTAACACATAGTAACAGCTTGCTCTGTGCAGCAGAAAAGAATCCATTTGTGAGATTAGAGGCCTGTAGTTACATCAATACATTTGTGAAGTCTTCAGCTAGTGGAACTACCAACAGTTTTAAATTAAGTGGATTCTTCCATGTAGCCCAGGATAAAAGAAAGCATGTTTTTCCTGATGGTACTGTAGAACAGAGTGATATGAATTGCAGCACTGGTGGAATGCAAAATGAGGAATTACCCCTAAAAGATGACTTATTGTTTAATAAAGAAGGAACTCAAAACAGAGATGGGTGTTTCTTATGCTGTCAGAATGAAAACAGTAAGTGTTTAAGGGGAAAAAAGTGGAATATTGGTAGAAGACCTGGAAAAAATACTAAAATTACTGAGAAATCAGCAGGGAAGAATATATTCACAGACATGGCTAATGAATGCAGTGAGTGTGAGTTACAAACAGAAGCAGCAGTTGCCATGTCAAGCTCCTTAACAGTTTTAGGGCTAAATCATAAAGGAGCTACTCTGTCAGCTTCATATGACCATACATCAGATCTTCACATAGGAAAAAGTACTCATGAAGCACAAAATATATCAGTCGGGAGAAAGAACAGTACCAAATTACTTGCATTTGAAAATGGCTGTAAGAATACATCTGAGCTCTCAGTAATAGCAAAAGGAGAAAATTCAAACAGTGTGGCTCATGATTCTGCTGCCTCAGGTAGCCTGAGAGTGCTAGCTCCGGTCCATGATATTTTTAATTGTCACAAAAGCAAGACAGCTGAAAAATTGAAAAAAGTTAATAAGAAATTGCAGCAGATAACCTGTCAAAGAACATCACCTATGACTGGTAAAAATGTTTGGCCTGTTGAATCTTGTGCCAGGACTTCTGCATGGGTTGGTAAAAATCACGAGTCCATCTCAGAAGGAAAAAAACTTTTAAGGGCTGACTTTGAGGAATCCTTTGCTAAAAGCAGTGTTAAAGCTGTAGGAAGAAGTGCTGTGATTGGGAATTTGGGACTGTCGAATTTGCATATGACATCAGTAGAAATGAGAAAAGAGTCTGCACATAAAATAACGGATCTAAATACTGAATGTCTGACTTCACTTAAAACACCAGAATCCTCTTCCGTGGATATTTATGAGACTTTGAGAGTGAGCAGTGAAAATGCAAAATCACCAGTTAATATGGATAGAAGTGCCATGGTTTTTAACCAGGATGATAGGCAAGAGGTTAAGGCAACCTTGAAATTTACGACAAAACAAAAAGGTGAAAGTAAAGGAGCTGTAACAAAAAGAAACCTGTCTGTGACAGCCCAGAATGGTACATCTACAGGTAATGCGAACCGGATAAACTTCAGCAATAAAGCATCGGTAGTGAATGAGACATTTTCTGACTTAAAGCCAGTGAAAACATTAGATGCTAAAACCCTGACAAAATTAAAAATTCCTTTATGCAGAAACAAAGCTGAATCCAGGAAATTGGAATCTGTCCATTCATTTGAAACAAAACCCGGTAGTCCTCTAGAGCGTCTTGACAGCACTAGTGTTTCAAGAAGTCAGAAGACTTCTGTTCAGAAGTCAGAAGAGACTTTTTTGGTAAATTCTGAGCAGCAGCCTCATCCTGGCATGAGAGGTGCTACATCTACAGATCTCATGAAGAAAAAAGTGAGTGAAATCAACAGTAATCAGCATGATGGCTTTGAAAACCTCTCGAAGGAGATGTCTGCGTTCCCTGAACGTTCTTCTTTATATCCACATCCTTTTCTTGACGGACAACTAGAGTCATCGGTGCCTGATTTCTGTGGTACTGAACATGTACTAAAATCTAATTTTCCTGATCATTCTTGGAATGCCGTTGACCACCCTGTTGCATTAGAAAGAAATGATGATAGCAAATCAAGAGAGAATCTTTCACAACACAAAAATCAAAATTTTGCAGATATTCTTAAAGCTTATGAAGAAGATGTTCTTATCATTGATGTGATTCAGGATGACCCTGACCTTTTTGGAACCAATAATGAAGAGCAGGTTCTGAAGTCTGAGTATGCTGTTATCTCAGAAAATAGAGATTCAGTAGATGATCATTTTAGGTATGCATATCATTCTTTTCATTACAATAATCCTAAGTATTTTGTTCTCATATTTTTGTACTTTGGTTGTAATGGTCAGGCTTCCTTTCAGAATTTCACTAATTTCTGTGTTGATTTTAAGTGTACAAATTTGATTGAGGTATGACAATATTCTGAATGCAAACTAATTAATTTAATATGAGAACTAGGATAAACTCTGGATCAAAAGGAAAACGTAGTGATAAATAATTAGTTTCGACCAAGTGAAATGAAATAGGAAAGTATGAAAGCTAATTAAGAGTAGTATTCTTAATAACTAACATTTTAAAACACCAAACTTGATTTGAGATAGCAGATATGCCTTTCAGGGTAGTTTTTTAGTTTTAAAGTGATATAATACTTAGAAGTGTTTTTCACTTAGAATACTTTTTCACTTTCTAGGTGTAGTATATTCTTTTGCTGGATCTGTATGAGTAAATGGTTGTCTATACAGTAGTATTCCATTTTGCCATTCTCCTTCCCTTCTTTTCTCCTGGCCCCCAGAGGTGTGAATAGTTTTCAAATCTGTAATTTGGCCAACAAGTTATAGATGTTTATGACTGTGCATCTTCATTCAGCAAGTTCCTGGTGTAAATTACTAGGCATTAAATGCTTTTCTGGGTTTTGCAGATGATAATAAAAGTCACTGAAGGGGGAAGAGAAGTTTAAAGTAGAAATAAACTTTTGTAAAAGAGGTAGCAGTCCTTTGTGGGGTAGATGAACTCATCAACTCTCTAGTCTGTTTCCTCTCTAAGCTTTGATACTTGTGTTTTATAAATGAGTTTTAAGATTAAATTTTTCATGTTACAAAGAAAAACATAAAGCTTAGATAGAAGTAGTACAAGATTTTCCTTGGAAGATTAGTTTTTATTGGGAAGGGTGTTTTAATTTTCTTCCTCTGCTCTTTCTGGGTGGCTTTGTAATCCTTATTTTAAATAATATTTTGATTATTTTCACCTTTGTACCATCTTATAACTGCGTTCATGTTTTTTTACTCTTTGCTCTCCTTATCCTTTCCCATCAATAAACCTGTGTGCAGAAGAGGGAAGGAATCTTCTTTGAGGTGCTGAACAGTTTTTTAGACATGAGAATATAAAATTTTCAGATGTTAATAGAATAAAACTTTGGTCAAACGAAGCCTCTGAAGAACAGGGCGAGTCTTTAGCAGGAGCATCCAACTTCTTAAGAAGCAGCTAGGCTGTATCATAGTAAATTTATTAGAACGAGTGTTCATTTTATGTGCAGTGCATATTATATACACTGTATAACAGAATGAGTATTCACTGTATATTACGCCAAGGTAATAGTGGCTGCCCCGAGATGGTTTCCAACTGTCTGTCCAGACAGCTGTTGCACGGAATGAAAGACCAGAAGTTTTGACCCCTTTACACTCATGTATTGGTTATGGTAGTAAAGTTTGCTATTTATATAAATACTAACTGAAAGTTTTATTGGATCTTGTAAGTACTTTGTAGGAAGGACAGCCATTAGATGAAAACCAAACTTGCTTGAAGTCATATTTCAACTTTCTTCCTGGTACCTGCTGAATTTGCTTGCCATTAGCTAAGGAAAGTAAAAATGCATGGTTCTTATGTCTTAGAATTTCCCATTAATTTGCTAAAGAAGCAGGCAAAATTGTCTGGTTTTGCTTTTTACCTTCCATAATTTGATGCAGAGATGATTAAATGGTGATTAATCATAGTTGGTAAGAGTCAGGAACATAATAATGAACTGAATATGTGAATATTAAAATAAGGCAATAGACCTTACCACAGTTTTATCAGGTAGCTTATGATATCACCAGATAATACCTGATAATGGCCAGTTCATACTGTTGGTTTTTATTTTGTTAGTATTTGCCAGATATAAATGGGTCTTCAACTTTGTTTGGCCAACCAAAAAAAGTGATTATGCTGGTAGAATTATGGTCACATCATACTACGTATTTTAAAACAAAATACTACTTCTGTTAAAGTTTTTTGGGGTTTTTTTTAGAGATATTCTAGAGTAATGTCTATGTTTTCCTCGGTTTTGCTTCGTTGCAATGTTAGTTTGTAGTGCCACTTAAATCTGTCCACATAGAATAGCGAGTCAGAACTGCACTATTGTAAACCATCTATTAACATGTGTAAATATTAGTTTATATGCATGTTTTGTTTAACATTTGGTTAATGTTAGCCATTATGCCCTAGATGAATGCAGTCTAGGTGAGTGTAGGTAGAAGAGCAACGCAGGCACTTAATGGGTGCATATGGTGGTTGCTGCTGAATGTTTTCTTTCACTGTATCAATACTTTTGTTATGATTTCCCTTCAGATTGATAATAGCAGGCAGATAATGGAAAGAATCTGGATCTTTGCTAAAACTGTTTCAGTGCATGTATGTGTGGGGATGGACTTCAGTATGTTACTTCTTGTTTTTAGTCTGGCATTGGTACAGAGCAGCAAGAACAGTATTTTTGCTAGCAGCAAGTTATTCTGAAAGTATAGCTGGGTTGTTAAAAAGCTTTTTAAGATGCTTTGAGTGTTACTTATGAGCTTAATAGAATTTAAATTGTAGTTGTAAAGAAACAATTGGTGCCTTAATTTGTGGTGTTCTTCCAACTACAAAAATCTGAGATCGAGCAGCTTGTCAAAATGACAGTTGCTATAATGAACTAATACTTTTTATTGAAGTTTCATTGTGAAACCAAAGCACTGAAAGTGTTTGAAGGATGTACCAGGTTGATTCAGTAACTGACAAGCATTCAGGGGCAACTATTTGCCATTGTGGACATGTAACTGTTCATATGGGTCCATTTTATTTGAGCTTTGAATTTAAACAGCAAGATGTATTTAGCCAATGACACTTTTCATCTTTGTCTGTCTGTGACCTTAAAAGCCAGAGAGATATTTTTAGTTATGAAAATTCGAGGATAATAATTTTTGGCTTCCAAATTTCAGATGTGTCCTTCAAAAACAGAACATACTGGTCACAACAGTGATTGAGGTCCAAAATTCAAATAAGGCTCATTTCTTTTTCTAAGCAAACCAACAAAGCACCCAACAACCAAAGAGGCACCTAAGGTTGTTGCACATCTCTGTCTTAAAGTTTTCTAACTACTGTAATTGTGATTGTGCGTATGCAGAATGGAATTCTCTGAACAAGCAGCTTTAAGTAGGACAAGCAAGTCCTGTCAATCCAGGAAGAACCAGCTCTGTGTCATGTCCTGAGTGGTTTGATTCAGCTAGCATGCTCTGACCCTGAGGATAAGTAGGATTGGTTATTCCTCTGGTAGTTGCATTTTAAGAAGAGTGGAGTGAGTGCTGGTCACTCGCAGGAAGTTGTTGCCAGTCGTCAGGAAAGGATTCAGGACTTTCAGCCTGAATGGGGAAACTCAGTGAAACTCAGTTTTCTCATATACTTCTGTGCTATTTTCTATTGTTTACCCCTAAGTGACTCCCAACAATACAGGTTTTTGAATCAATCAGCTGAGTTATTTCTTACCTCTTATGTAGGGATTCTAGACATTTCACTCTTAAGTGGCATCCAGTATTAGTGAATTAGTAAATTCAGCAGATCCCTTTGAAAGTGCACCAGCAACCATTCTTAGGAGACTTCTGCATTTTTCTGTTTTCCTTTTGAATAAATAGCCTAAACTTGAATCCATTTTTCATATGCAAAATAGCAAACTCAACACCGTGATTTGTGTAATTTGTGCTGTAAAGAGAAATTTGTTTAAACTTAGCAGCAGTATGCAAGAGCATCCCACATTCTGACATGGTCTAGTCTGTCTCCATTTCTAGATAAAATGTGTTGACTACTTCTGGTTTTGTCACTGCTCCTACATTTGTCATGCTGGTGAGCAAATGCCAAGTACTGTAAGAAATGTAGTTTTTTCTGTCTGTTTTAGGCACCTTCTTCTTTGCAGGAACTTACAGTGCTTCTTTAACTATTTCACACTACACAATTAGCGGAATCTAGTAAAGATTTTTAAGTGGCTTTTGACCTGCACATGAAGATTTCAGTCTCTTCATGATGTTAAGTATTTTCAGTTTTAAGCAATGTTTATGAAGATGACAGCTTTCTGGAACTGTCTGCACTGCAATTTTACAAAAAAAGTCAATTGTTGTGAAATCTTTCAAACTTTGTGCTTCACCTAAAATGTGGGGGAGAGAGGAAATAAGCCTACAGAGAGCCTGCCTCTAATATAAATCCCTCTCGTCTCTGCAAACTTCCTGTAACTTATTAAACTCTGCTTCTTAATTTATGTCGTGTATATACATAGATACCTGTGCCTGAATGTGTAGTTCCAAGTTATGAATACTGGGGAACTTTTTCATTTACACTAGGTTGTTGCAAACTTTCATTGTTTCATTTTACTAAGCAGCTTGCTGTCATTATGCTTGTTGTCATTTACTGGGTACAAACTTCCAAAATCTGTGATGATGATGGCATTCTTTTTATATATTTGATATATACTATTTTAATATGTATTTTTACCTTCTGAGCTTTTCTGAGGATATTTTTTTTCTCAATTTATCTTTAAAATAGGTGAAGTATCTTTCTATGAACAAATGTTTTTGTTAATCTCTTCAAGATTCATTGTTATGCAAATTGTCTTGAATATAAAATTACTATAAATCACCTTTTGTAGAAACTGATGAATTGGCTCATTAGCAGTTATTTCCATAATATGCTATACGTCTCAGGCAAAGGTGAAATGAGATATTGAGCTTTTACTGACAAATTGTGGGATTTGAAATGTTTTGGGATTAGTTAACCTGTTTAGTTGTATATAGGAATGTACATAAGTAAGAAAACCAAAAAAGTTAAGAACAGTCTTGCAACAGTGTGTTGTGCATAAGGATTCTGTCCATAGCTAAAATTATTACTGAAAACTTTGATTTTTTCATAAGTAGTTAGATTAATTCTGCTTTTGTGCAAGGTGGAAATCTTAAATACACTTCTTGTTCAAAACAGACACGTTACCAAACAAGAATCTGAAACATCAAATGATACTGAAAATTCCTGTGATTGTGTGCAAAAAGGTAAGAGTCTGGAGATTTTTTGAATGTGTAATCAAGATAAGAAAGTAACCACAAAAGTGTTCAGTGGCAAATGCTAGGCTTTCTACTTTCCACATAAAACGAGAACTTGTCACTTCAGTAGTATCTTTTTATTGTAACAGGGATTTGTTTCCTAATGCATATAAAATGGATGTCTTTTGAAATGGTACAAACCTGAGCCTTGCAGGGAACATCTCTTCTCTGTAGTACTTATCTATTGGTTAGTACTGGGGGGGGGGGTTGGGGCTTTGGTTGTGGGTTTTTTTGACACCTTTTTGATTCTTTGAGTAAGGAATCCTGTTAGTTGATGAGGTGCTAATAAGACACTCTAGTACTGTGGCACTGCTTTGGATTTAGACTCATAATCTCATTTGTTTTTTCTCTAGTGTTCATCAGCAAACAGAATTTTATAATAGTTTTTTTTTCCAAGTTGTACTTTTGGGTTTTGTGGATGCTATGCCCATTCCTCTGACAAACTGTTTTGTTTTAAAGGATGCTTTTTTTAGAGAAGGATACTTTAGACTTAATGGTTTTTTTCTTCCTATTTTAAGCAGAACAGTCCAACTAGGTAGCATCTAAATGTGATTTGTTTTATACAGTTTGCATACAGACCTACTATCCAAGGTATGTCTGATGTGGAAATTTCTCTTAGATAGGTTGAAGGAACAAGATTTTACCTTTGAACAGAAGCCCATTACTGACACACTGGAGAAGGCACAGAGTGCTGAGACTGGTTTTGGAAGTTCTTGGTATTTCCCTTTCTGGTGTCGGTTTGTCAGCTTGCTGTTAATCTGGCACTGCCATTATGTGTTGATTTTGCTGCAGGCTTGAAAAGTGTCTGTGACAGTATCTCTTGTGCTGTTTTTTCATATTAATATATTATGTTCGTGTAGAAGGAGTGAGTGGTTTGGGCAGATGTACCTTGCTGGAGAAAAAAGGAGTGAATAGTGACTGTTTTGACAAGAGAGAATTTCAGGCTTCAGTGAATAGAAGGCAATTTAAAAGGTAATGAGAGTTTAAGAGCTCAAACACGGAGAAATAGGCACAAGTTCCCTGAGGAGGAGTAGAGAGGAGGTACACAGTTAGGCCTCTGGTGATGTAAAGAGCCAGAGGGGCCTGTGCCATGGCATCTGCAGTACTGAGGTAATTGAACCAAACCTGGAGCAAGTCCTGTACTATTTAGTGACTTCTGCATTTTCTTAGAATTTGTTATTTGACTTCATGTTCTAACAAAGTTTGAGGCTAAAAGTTTTTTTGTGGTGCTTGAAATAAAGAAAAAGGTTTAAGTAGATCCTTCTTCCCAGATCTGAGAAACTTAACATCACATCGCACTCTTAGATTAATATGTGTACAGTAACTTATGTTTGATGCATTTCTTCTTAAAAAGACCTGTACAGAACAAAATAAAGGTTCCTGGGTTTGGTAATTACTGACATTTTGTGTATTTATTTAGAAATACATATTACTGCTTTGGTGTCTTGTGTTAGATAGTGAGGCCATGACTGCTTGTCTCAGTGGCTTCACAATATAAAAAGGGCAACACATATTACAGTTAAGGTATTCTGGATGATATCAATGCTCTTCTTCTTTGAAGTGGAAATCTTACGTATGTTGTTTTTAAGCAGATGTGTCTTGTACTGATAATCATACAGAGACTGGTGAATATAAGATAAAAGCCTTTCCAGTAATAATCTGACTCTTTCTTCCTGTATCTGAAGCACGTAGTGCAGTTAAAATTAATTCCCGTGATCTAATGAAAAAGTGACTTTCTTTTCTATGCAGAGCTCTTCTGTGGTACATGAACAGGTGCTTCAGAAAGGTGCAGTCAGGTGTACTGCTCATTTCTGCAAACAGTGCTGAAATTTCCTGACACTGAATTCTTATTGAATTTACTGTATTACAGGAATTTTGAGTTTCTCAGAGCTATCTACATTTACTTCAGGGTTGCATCATGTCATTATGATTAACTTAGCCCTTCTCCAGCAAAGACTAAGTCTTTATTTGCTTAGCAAATTACCATACATATCTTCGGCTGTGTTTTAATAACAAAGCTTAAGTGAATTTATTTCTAGAATATTTAATTCAGTATTCTATAAATAAACCTGTTGTACTGTTCTACAGGGACTATTACAGAACATACAGCTTGGATAGAATTTTAATTGCAGATTCAGTTTAATATTTATTTGAAATGGTTCGTGTTTTAAAGGTGAAATAATTTTACATATAAATGTCACATTTAGGAAGTCCTAGGAGTTCTTAAATGTCATTAGAATTAAGGCTTTGTAATATTTAGGAAATAAAAGCTTTGTTGTCTTGTAGCATGGGAAACACATAAAGTAATGTGTTTATACATTTTCAGCTAAAGATATGCAAACCCACAACTCCTCCAGAGGAAGCAATCCTTTGGGAGGTGTTACTGAGTACTTTTCTGAAGATGGGCAACTGAGAGAACTAGATGAACTTTTAAGCAGTTCTGACATGAGTGAAAAGGTACTGAGAAATCATGCTTTCTGTCACTAAGTAGTTTAAGAAGTTATAGTCCATGTAATTGAATAATTTTAATGCTGTTTTATCAACAAAATTTTTAATTTCCTGTAATAAAAAGAATATGAGTGTTTCATAGATGACTGTGCTATTGACAATGTTTTGCTTGACAGAACTTTTTTTACCTTGTCACTAATAATTCATTTTCAAATTTGAAATTAAACAAGATACTATTATATCAGTTGTTACAGTAATTCTGTATTACCAGTTCTATGAAAATTACTGTTCCAGTGAACACCTAGGAGTACTACTGTGCATATGTAACATCATTACACAACATGCCTAGTTTTAAAAGTTGACGTTAAATGCTTCTCACCACACAGTCTCGGAAAGATGGGGTGGTGTTGGAAAGCTGGGGAGCTGCACAATCATCATGCATCTGAGGAGGATTGTTCTGTGGCTCATTACTTGGGCAGAAGGGCTATTACATTAACATACTGGCTTCCTCGCAGTTCAGACGGAATTAAGCCATTTTCATGCTCGCTGACTTTATCTGACCTTTCTACTCTCACTGTCCTCCTTCCTCTAGATAATAAGTCTAGGTCTTATAAGACTTGCTGAAGTTTTATACTATTTACTTCTTTGATAATGGATTGGAATTTACATTTTACTGCCACTCAGACATAGCTGCTGATAGCATTTACTGTTTTCCACTACTTCCGGAGTGGATAATGGTTTTAACTGGATAAGTTAAACTGTAAAATTCACATAGCTAAAAACTGGTAAGTAATTGATGAGGTAATCAAACAGTAGGGAATCAGTTTTCCTGGCAAAATCATTATTTAAAAGCAGAACAGAAACACTTACTTCAGCAAATCAAATTGGAGCTGCTAACATCAGATTCACAAAGTGAATGGTGCCATTTTGTTCCCTGTTCTCTTGTTCCCTTGTTCTCTTAAAGAAGGTAAAAGGTTCTGTCAAATATTATAGGTTACTGGAGATGTAGTACTTGTTGCAATATTGCCAGGTTAATCCTAGCTGGACTAATTCATAGTGTTGTGGCTTTATAAAATCAGTGTCCTAATGTATGCTTTTCTGTGCTGTGTTAGACAACAGTGAAGATGTACAACCGATCTCACCCAAACCTCAAACTTAACCAAACTTAAGCCACAAAATACATGCTACAGCACTAAACCTATTCCTGTATGTGGATGGAAAATGAGCTATGTAGACCTGGGGAGGGAAAATGGCAGAACTCTTGTTGCAAATATTCTACTGTTTGGGGCAGTTTGGGTTTTGTTTTTTTGATGGCTTTTCCAACTAATAATGTTGTGAGAAGAACAAAAACTAGCAATGGAGAAAACCCTAAAAATATATGGCTAACTGGTAAAATGGAGTTCAGAAATCCAGTGAGAGCATGTCCATCTCTAATTCTTTAGCAATCATGAACTTCACAATGTATCACAGATTTAAGTTACTTGATGAATAATGGATAAAACAGAGCCAAGGTTCCATGACTTTGTTCTGTATCTGTCCTTTAAGATTCTCACCCCCAAATACGTTAGGTACTGTCTTTTTTCTCCATATCTTTGGGAATTTTTTACTTACATGCCATGGTGCACAGCTGAGCAAAAGCCTTCAGTTTCTCCTCGATACAGCTTTAAATTTTCATTAAACTTGATGGAATGTCTTTTGTGGGTTTCTACACATATGTCAGGCACAGTTAAAATTGGGCAGTGGGCCTAAAAATTGCAGGCATTATCGGTGGGAGCAAAGAGAAGACAGTCATGTCACTTTTTTAACAATTACAAATCACTGTTTTAAAGATCACAGAGTATAATGGCAGTGTGTCCATTTAAAAAGATGGTGTAAGAGTAACCCTACAGTCCAAATGACAGTTTTTACAGTCAAGACTATATATTACAACTTCCAACGATGACTAAGAGTTTTAAGTCTGTAGTGTAAAGTGTAACAGACTTAATAGTTCTTTGCTGTATCTGAAAGTATGTTTTAAAATCTTCACAGTTCAGGTTTGCAGATGGCGTGCCTAATGATAAACGAGAAAAAAAGAGTGAAGCTGGAAAAAGGTATGTATACTGTGTCCTTCATGCAATCTGTGATAATCCCCAGTTACTGTACAAATAAAAGTGAATTAAAATGCTTATGGTGTTTCAATAAAAATATCAAATTTTCTGTTACTGTGTCTATGTGATGAAGAAAATAAATATGTGAAATAATATCATTTCACTGTACAAAGTACAAGTATAGTCATAGCCTGACAGGACAACAGAGGTTATTTTGTCCTCTAGCTGGTGAAAAAATATATCCACTTCATGCCAGTCTCTCACCATGGCATGAAGTGGGTATATTTATGCTATACTGTCCTGGTTCAGCCAGGATAGCGTAAAGTTTCTCTCTCTCTGCTGGGGAAAACTTTATCCTGGCTGAACCAGGACATATACTCAATGTGAGTGTAGCATAAGATAGGTTTCAAACCACAGTGGCACTTACCAGAACTTTTTTTAAACAAACAAACAAACAAAGAGAAAGCAGTGAAACTTTCAGCTTTGTTTTCTGCCTCTTGGGATTTTCTAAACTGATGAAAGAATTAAAAGATCTAATTCAAATTCAGCCTGTCAAATATCTGAACAGCAGTAGAAAAAGGCACTTAAAAACATGGCATGTGGAGTTAAGCACATGCTTTACTGTTCTGCTAGCTTCAAGCTTTGCTTTGTTTGTTGTGCATACAACTTGAAGTGTCAGACTAAAAAACTTCCATTTAACATCAACCCAAAAAGGAAGAAGAAAAAGACTTTCTATAAAAAGTACACTTAATTGATGGAATATGTAAGTAATTAGAAGAGAAATAACAGATATTTCAGAGGCATTTTCACAATAATCGAGAAACCTTAGCTGGCACAGAAGAGGGTATTGCTTTTTTCCAGCACCAGTCACATTTCTGTGGTAAACTAGAAGTGTAGCAGAAGTCCATTAAATGGAGAGTATTAGGTCTTCTCGTTAATCCACTAGAGCTCCATGCTCCTCCTCCTGATAAAATACCCATTTAAATATACTTTAGTGGCATAAATAGTTCTTTATGCTATAGAATAAATAGATTATGCTGGATGAAGTATATTTGTGCAAGTGATACTGCATTACTTCTTTAGTTGAAATGCAGCACACTCTGCAGTTAGAGACATCTATTCCTTTAATTTGAGTCAAACTATTTTCTCTAGTTTTACTCAAAAATGTTAGTTGCAAAGTTTCATTATGAAGAAAACATAGCTACTGTTCTTATTTAGCAAATCTAGTGATGCTGTTAAAAAAAAAAAATTATAGTAGAGCTGTATAGTTTACAGTTACTCGCAAACCTGTGTGTAATTTCATGTCTAGATTAAAATGAGAGCTGAGATTGTTAACCTGAAGGTAAACTGCTATGAAAATCCTGTTGTGTCCAATCTGAGGCTGGCATCACAAGGAAGCATTAAAAAAAACTGACATGGTAACTTGAAAATTCTGAGTAACCTAGATCTGCAGATTTTTTTCCTTTGGAGACCAATACAATACTCTGACTAGAATAAAAATAAAGATTGATATTGAAGATTTTGGGTTTACTAGGTAGAATTTATTCTTCTCTTCTGTAGCATTTTTATTTCAAACTGTATTTAAAAACAGCTTGCAATTTAGGAAAGATTTGAATTATCCTGGCAATGAATACTAGAATGTGCCCCTCATAGGGGAAGGCAAACAGGCTGACATGTCCTTTATTCTGAACCTAGATTCTTAATTGAAGGAGGAAGGGGAGGAAGATCTCATGAAAGGGATTATTTTTTCTGTGGATTTATTTACAAATAATAAATTGATCACCATATTTTGCTAGCATATTTATGTCTTATTTTGAGAAACCACATTTTAGTAGTTTCTGGAACATAGATATTTGGGAATAGTTAAAGGCAGAACAGCTGTTAATTGGAGTTCCCTTTGAAATCACCTGAGTCTTCTGAGTAGAGTCAGTTATTAGGAAAGAAAACAGTTGGCTCTTAAAATGTAATTTCAAAAGCTTTGTGGATTACTCCTTCAAAAAAAGATGACTGAAAAGTAGATGCTTTTTCAGAGGAGACAAAAATTATCTCAGTCTTTCTGTCAGCATAGTGGAAAAAAAATAGAAGTGTTTTATGGGTGCCTTTTCTAATTAATTATTGAATTTCATAGAGTTACACTTTAGGACAGAATAATCTCAGCTAAAATCGTAATCAGATTGGACCAGGCAATGAGAGTAGTGAAAGTAAAGTTGTTGGGACTGCTACTTACGTAAATTTACAGCAAGTTTTTAAGTGTTGTGTGATTTGTTAAAGAAATTCTCTTTTTTTATACACCGAATCCCCCTTTCTAGGTGTTCAGTGTATGGAAGAAGCACCTCTTTAATTTGGTTAAACAAACTTTTGGGTTTTTTTAATACTCAACAGTGACTGTAAATACGAAGATCTTGTGAAGTGTGAGTTGCCATCAGGAGTACCATTGCATGCCCCGAAAGTAAATGTCCTCAGTGAAGATACAGTGATGAAACCCCAGACAAATGGTATGATATGCTGTTTTGGTGAACCCTCCAGAATTTATTTTTACCTGTGTTTTATTTACCTATAAAACCTTAAAGAATTTTTTCAATCCCTGAAGGCAGGAGCTGGAATTTGGTTTAGTGCGTATGTAGAATCAAAAATGCAAGCTGTCATATGATAGGTTAGTGAGGTTTGTTGGCTTGGGTTTTTCAGGAGAATCCTATTTGGTAGGGTCAAATAGCAATCATTCTATTCTGTCATTTATCGTTCTAGGATACTTTAATGGTACAGCTGTGCCTGCATTCTTAGTATTTTGACACATTGTGTTTGAGACATGTTATTGGCAAGTAATTTGTTTTTCTTTATCTGTGGTCAGAGGACATAACTGCAGATTTTCTTGGTTGGTTGTTACATGTTGGCAAAACTTGGCTAAAGGATTTGCCCATGTTGTCAAAAGTCAGAACTTTGTTGTTTATGCCTGTTCAAATGTTTATGAAGCATTCACTAGACTGGACCAAGGAAGTGATCTCAATTTAATAAGCAGCACTTTTGACCTGGTATATTTCACACCCAGGACAGGTACCTCTCAAGTGTCTCTGCTGCCAGAGAATTCATAATATAATGGAACTGTAGTCAAAGTTTCCTTCTCTTTTTCTCTGCACATAACATCTCTGACATTTAGCTTTACATAAATGCATAGTTTTATTTGTCATACAAGATGGAGAAAGACAGAAATTGATTACTTACGGATAAATACCGCATTCTGTTTCTTTGCAACGGCTGTTTTGGGAATTAATGTTTTTAGAATTACTGGTTAATACGGATATTTATAAACAAGGATTTCCTGAATTGAGATCAGTGGCAGAGGTTCTTGCTTAGTTTCAAATTATACTGCCAGTCTGAGCTTGTAGAATAATTTTATCATCATGTCACTTAACAATATTTTCAGGAAGTGCAAGAAACAAAGATGCTATAAAAAGCAACTGTGAAATATATCTCTGGACTACAGTAGTTTGAAATTGCTCATGTCTTCAGCCTTAGAAATGTATACGCCTTCTGAAGAGTTACTCTAAACCTTCCTTAAAATCATTTGAAATGATTGCCAAAGCAAGAGTTACTGTGCCAGAAGAGGGCAAACTAGGTTTTTTTTTCCCCAAACCTGTGCAGGCAGGATTAGATATTTTACTTTAGTGCCTGCTACCCTACAAGTTTGACAAAGAGTCAGCAGGGAGAGTACAGTTGAAAGGACCTGGACAGAAGCTGTATGCTGTGGAGATGGCAAGAATCTAGAGGAAAGACTTCTGAGCATAAGTTCCCAGTGGCATTTTCGTGCAGCTAGTGGTTGACCATTTTCTCACACTTTTTCCTGTCACCAAATTTATCCAATCCTGAATTTACCAAATTGCCCACCGGCACTGCACAAAATTATGCTGCTGTGACAGTATGTAACATTTAGATATTTAATTGCTCTACATTATATTTCTCCTTCCTATCCTGTGATAGTCCTGTCTGTTTAGAAAGAAATGCAAATTAAGAACCATGTACCTAGTGCAAGTCTGCAGTAGAACATGCCTCATTATTGGATGCTCTTTGGTAACTATAGTTTGTCAGAAACAGCTACGCACCCTGCCTTTTGAATACCCAGCTCTCTCAAGAGGCCAGATGGGAACCCTAGAAAGCAAGGCATTCAGAAGCTCTTATTTCTCTTCAGATATGCAGTTGAAAATTAGAACTTTTATCTTCCATTAACATTATTCATTTTTCAGAGAGAGAAATCTGTTATCAATAATAATTTAAGTTCTAAAACCAAGTTTCATGGTTAAGAAACCAGTAGCTTACATTGGGCTTAAGCTTGTTAGTGCACTGCTTAAAACATGGAGTATGAAAGGTTTTGAGTCAATTCTGAAAAATAGTTTAAATTTATGGCTAGTGTGTGGGAATGCAAAGATTACTGATAAAGTGTGTATGTGGGTTTCCTTTTGAAATTAAAATTTCTGGATATTTTTATTCCATTTCTTATCTCTGTAAATTAGATTAGAAACCTTGCATAAAGTAACGAAGTTTTTGATTTAAATATGCCTACTCTTGAAGTTTGTGTGAAGTCTCAGTTTTAGGATAATTGAGAAAACTGTAACTCAAATTACTGGCTTTAGATTGTATTAAATTTTATTAATCATTGCTGTGACTTGAAGGAACTATAAATATAAAGGAAAATAAGATAAATGAGAGTGGTTTCAGTATGATTCATTGTATTACATGATCCATTTATTGTCCTCATCTTTAGATCACATATTTTCAAGAAAAAGTTTGTTACTGCCATTGCAAAATGATGGAAATTTTGAGCCATTGAAGATGGGAAAAAATGCAATTGTGAGTTGTTAAATCCTTAATGATTTCTGATCCTTTGGCACTAATTTTGTTACGGATATTCAGACAATTCCATATATCTAGTCAGAAATTATGAATGTTTATGTTTCTACTCCTCTAAAGATGTTATCACTGAGTAAATAGAATTTCTAAGAACAAAATCAATTATGAGGGGACAGCTATTCATAGTGGAGCTTTGTTGATTTCTATTTCCATCTTAAGCAAAATCAAATGCTTTTTACTTCATTGTTTTTGTAGAACTGAAAAGCAGACAAGATTTCACCTGTTTAAGACAAACTGCATTATCCATTATGTTGGGCACTGAAAAAGGGTAAAAGAAATTGATGCCCTAGAATTCTTAGACTGTTATTCAGAGCCATGCAGGAGCTTGTCACCTTCAAGAAGGATTTTTGTTGTGTTAGACACTAACACGACGTGACAAGGGAGTGAACTTGGTCTGCTTTGAAATGCTGCAAATACAGTATAGAGATGAGCGTTGTTTCAGGAGTTTATTTGTAGATAATTTTTTTTGTTGTTTATAATGTGTAGGTATTTTGAAATTCTCAAAAAAAAAGATTATGTTTGCTTCCTTTGGGGTTTTTCTGCTTGTTTTAATTTTGTTTTATTTTAGGCTTCTCATTCAGTCCAGCGGATCCTTGAGATGTTTGAATTGCCTCGTAAATATTGCAGATTTTATTTCATGACTTTGCATGGGTGTGAAAGAGCACAATGTCAATTTTCGCATGTTCCTGAACAAGGGGATGAAAAGGTAAAGAGAGTTATTGAAGAAAGGAACAGATTGCATAAACACCTTTTAAATGCAAAATGACATCTCCTTCATTCATTTATGTTTCGAAAGGGAGTAAATTTCAGAGATTGATGGATCAAAAAAATGTTCAGAAATTCCTCTTCTCAAGGTCTTTTACAGTTCTTTTTCTAAAAAATGATAGAATTTGGAACTAATAGTCTTTTTAAGAGAACAGACATCAGCAAAAGAGCAAGAATTAGGCTGTGCGAATATAGAGTAGTAGAAGGGGGAGATTCTGAAGCATTTCTATCCCAAGCATTGGAGACCTGTAAGCAAACCCAGGCTTTGTATGTATTCTTAAAGTCAAAAAAGCTATTTATGGTATACTACTTTCTGCAAGTTTTGTGCAACAGGGGCATGTTTGTTAAAAGATGCTGTAATCTGCTTAAGTGGAGCAACAATTCTCATCATAACTTGCAAGCAAAACCACTTTTCTAGTGGTGGGCAAAGTAGATGTGTTTTCAAACTATTTAACAAAGAAATTATAAATTTGATTCATAAGAAAGTAAGTCTGTAATGCTTCTAAGAACTGTGCAAAGCAAGCTAATTGTGCTGTCATGTAATAAGATTTTGGAATTGGCTGTATGAAACCAAGAATTAGGTGGTTCTGTAAGTCACTTGGAAGCAAACAACAACATTAAAACAACTAAAGACAAATGCCTAAACTTGTCCTCATCTGGTCTTAAAAGATTTATTTCTTACCTACCATCTTTCTGGTATGACTACAATTTTATCTTTGGTGTCAGTAAGAAAGAAATTACAGAATCAAAATGTTAAAAATAACTTGTGAATCTGTTAGACAAATACTAAAAAAAGGCTAACACCTAATGAAGCTTATCCATTTCCCTGATACCTTAAATATACTGTGTCAGAATTCTTAAAATACATCAGTGTAATTTGGTTTTATTTTTCTTAATGTTTTTTATTTTCCTTTTTGTTTCAAAAAAGAGCTGTTTTGGGTTTTTTTCTAATGCTTTGTAACCCCTTTGAAAATTCATGACAGCTTAAAGATACCAAGATCACTTGAGAGTAATTTTGTATGGGATGTTTTCCCATTTCCTCAATTGTGAAATATCTTTGGCAGGCTGTAGTGAGTATCAGTAATTTTCAGCTAGTTTGTATGAATTATAATGGTTTGTAGTGCTTTATTATATACAGACACATTAAAAAATTAAATTACTTGCCGAAAACTATTAAAAATGCCCTCCATTTGATTTTACTTGTGGTGTAGCACTCCAGCACACCACAGTTCTGCCCACCAAACCTAGCTGAACTTTCTTGGTAGTCTGGAAGTATATCTGGGGTTTTGTTTGTGTATTTATTTATTTTCTTACAACTGTCCATTTAAAAATTATAATAGGCCAAGCACCTCATGGTGGCACCAAAGTACGTAAATGGAAGACAGATAAAGCAGCAACACAGTCATCTAGTCAAATAGATCTTTAGGAACTGTTACACAGACTGGTAGCTCACTTGCTTAGTACAGTGTTTTCAGTGATGATTGTTAACAGAATTTTTGAAGAGAGCTACCTTTCCCCATAATGGATATTCCTTTCTTTTCATAAGTAACTGGTTGATACTTTAAGCCATAACTTACAAGGATTTAATACTCTTCACAGTTGTGGTTGATCACACAACTGTGATCAATTTTTAATTGATTTAATTCATAGAAACAACATATGTTTTGAAAACCGACATATTCTTGAGCTCAGCAAGTTCTACAAGTACCAGTTGTTGGGGGTTTTTTTTTAAAGATATCTTTAATTTCAAGCAGTGAAATCTCTTTTGTGTTAGGCAAGCAAAACTATTAAGACTGTGGTTTAAATACTCCCCAAATTATTTAAAGGGGGGCTATATTAACAGTGTGTATAAGGAGGGAGTAAAGATGAAGCCGGACTCTTCTCAGTGGTGCCCAATGAAAGGACAATAAACAGTGGCCATAAATTGAAATTGCAGGCAATTCAGTTTGGCTTGAATGATACTTCAGACTGTAGCATAGATAATAACTGCACAGTTAAATAAGTGGTTTGAAAACATCTTTATGCAAACTGTATTTCTCTGTCTGATTTTTTTAGCTTTATGCACTTTACTCATTAACTTTTTTGGACTTGTATCCACTAAAGAAATGTTTACTTTTTGTGATTTCTTACTCTCTTTTTCCCTGATCCTATGAACCTCTAACTGGAAACCAACGTGATAGGAAGATTCCTGTACCCATTAATGTCGTCTCACAACTTCAGGGCCTTGGGTGTATGCATCTGTTGTGTGGGATTTTTTTAATCTGGCTTCCCAAAGAAATGAGACTTAAAGTTGCACTGTGCTTTTATTAGTCTCTAACTGCCTTTAAATAATTTTTGAACCTGTTGCTCACTTTCAGCCATGTTTAATACAGAGTGTGTGTCCCAAAGATGCCACAGGGTTTATAAACAGGATCCTGGTTTTGATATTACTGATTGAAGTGTTGCAGCATGGAGTTTTCCGCCTTATTAAACATCCGAGTGGACGCTGACTGAGAGATGCAGAAGGATTTCATAAATTCTGGTGCTTGTTCTTCCGATTAAGCACTTCTGTGTTACTGTAGTAGAACTATGTTTTCCTGGACAGTCAGTTGCTTGTATAAGATACACAGCCCTCTGTTATGTTTTTTATTAAATTGTCATGTTAAATGAGTTGTGGAATCAACTGAGAGGTGACAGAAAGATGGGAATTGTCTCCTTCATGTACCTTCCTTTGAAATCTGTTATGATTCACTCTAAATAGAGATTTTTACATGGTCTGTAGGTTCAGTTACACCTTTAAAACTGAAACAACTAAATCAGCTGAAACCTCATTGAAGCTGCAAATGAATAACGCATTTAGGTTTTTTTTTTTAATGAATGTAATGTAATGTGTCCCATGATTAAATATGCCTACATCTGGATTTTCCAAGCAATTTCACTAATACTTGGAACAATCAGAGCTCCAGATGCAATCTTGGCTTTTTTTGGGAGTCAGTCCAAAGAAGGAGGAAAACAGATTCCAAAAGAAAGCAAACTAATTTACATACTGTGAGCATGTGCTAAAGTTTGTTTTGGAAATGCCCTCAGCCACCTGGGATTGTAGATTTGGATTAAATGAGTTCACCCATTGCCAAGTGACACTGCATATATATTAATTAATGATCAAATATTCTACATTATTTACGGAAAGGTCTATCTTAGACTATAGTTCAACAGCATTATGATGCTGTTTCAAAAAAACCCCAAGCTGTATTTTTATTCAACATACTTACATATACAGTTTTTCTGTTCTTTGACTTGATGATCTGAACAGGTTAATGTTTAAAAAAAAAAAAAAAAAAAAGGATATCTTGGCCACAAGCCAGTACCTTCTGCTTTGATGGTAATTTTTTTTTGCTGTGTAACGAACTCCATGAGTGGATCCTGTCTAATTTTGAAGATGCATGTAAAAATAAACCCGACTAAATTTTATAATAACATGACTACTAATTTAGGGCATTCTCCGTCTCTTGATTTTTCATTATTTCATAAAAAAGTATTAAATATGACCCATTTACATTGTTGTGTAGAAAGACTGTTAAGTGTTTCAGAAGTGACAAAGGACATCTGAAAGGGTGGGTGTTTTTTTCCCTAACTTGGATTTCTAAAATTTAATCTCAGTAGTCTTTATTTCTTCATCTGCAGAGATGGAGAAAAGTGTGTGAGTGTGACAAAATCGATAGCTTAAGATGTTAAGACAAGAATGTTCCAGTACCAAATAACATTAAAATATCTAGGTGTGGATTTTTTTTTAAATCTAGTAGGTCTGTGGTGAAATGGTTCGTTAAATCAAGTTAGTTCTGAGTTCTTCTATGTCTTTATAAGTGATTCTTTGTGACAATGAGTGTTACCAACTGCATTTCTAGATGATTTTTCAGCTGCTTAGTTGGTAAATTCATGTAATTTTTATTTATCATGATTTCAATTTCACCTTTTTGCTTCCCTTTCTCTGTTTGTTTACAGTCTGCCATATTTACACAAATTCCTTAGTAACTGTGTTTTCACATTCTGTTTTTTGTTTGCTGTGAGTATATACACACACATGCAGTTGTGGTCCCAGCAGCTCCTTTCCCAAACGTTTAAACTACCTATTTTTCCTACTTGATTTGCCACCCTTTTGACAGTGTCTTTGCCTACAGACCCAGTTAAATTTTTATACCATTTTGTCAGTATGTGTGGGTTAAATAGAGGCAATATAAAGCTTGTTTCCTGATCGAACTCATTTTTCTGGGTAGTTCTTTTGTTTGGAATAAACTGACGTAACATTTTACTATGGACTTTTTTTCTTCTTTTTCTAGATTTGCATGGCAATACTTAGGACATACATTAGTACCAAAAAATCAGTCCTCCTAAAACGTTCAGGTATGATACGCTGAATAAGAAGTTCTAGTTTCAAAGGAATACATCCAGTCCATGTGTGTTTATGTTCCAATTTCTCACTGAAGCCAGATACTTAAATACGCAGTTATCTCAGGAGGTAGTTATAAATCTTACTTTCACGGAAAATGAACTTAGCCTGAATGGAACTAGACTTGACAGCAGAAATGAGTAGCTGGGGCAGGCAGGATATTTAACAGAACCAAAATTTGATTAAGGTACTTTTGAACATCCTGGCCAAACTTCACAAATCTAAAACCTTTAGAATTAAGCTTTTGACATGAAGTGTTGTTACAGCACTCAAGCAGCTTTTTAATCCTTTGACATTACCATATACATAAACAATTATGGTTAACACATTTTAGGGACTGTAGTTGATTCAAATCCATCTGAGCTTTTGAGTTCAGTCAGAAAGGGCTGAATTTTACTCTGGACAATTATTGCTGTTGTACCTGTCCTGAGCAGTCTTAAGTTTTTGAAAGCTTATTAGAGTGTAGTACAATGTAAACGTGTAATCCGGTTGCACCCTGTGCTGTAGTGTTCCTGTGCTGAAATACTGATCATTGTAATGCAGATAAGACTGCGTACCAGCAGGCTACAGTACGTGTCTGTCAAGGCTAGCACTGGAACAGGTTGTAAGACCATCCACCATGGTAACACTGCACTTTACTTCCTAGAGGTTCATGTCTGGAAAGGCCTTATTACCTTGATGCACTTACCAAATCTGTTTTGTGCAGTTTTCTTGTGCTAAACCAAATTAACTAAGCTTTCTTGAAAACTACCGGGCTTATGGTGTTCAGCTCAATGTCATGAGATATTTCAGAATAGTCAGTCTGGGTCTAGTAAGGTTCACACTGTATTCAGACTAGATCCTTTCACCCATTTTTTTCATATCCCTGTCCCATAAAATCCCGGATAATTAAGAATTGTTACACTGCATTTAAACTTTAAGGAAGTAACAGCCTCGGTTACCCCAAAGTGAAATTATTTTAATTGCTTTTTCAGTCCAAATATTTGTGAAATATTACAGAGAGGTTACTCCTGGTATGGATTTTGCTTCTCAAGTGCTGAATGATCTTCTCATTTCTTTGCTCAAGAACAACTTGTTGCAGGAAGTATTTCAGATACTGAATGTAACTGTACAAATCAATACACTGGTAGGTGATTGTAATTTTTAAAAAAATATTGGATCTGTAGTTTCTTAGTTTTTTGAGTACTATACCATTTGTAGTATTAAGTTTGGTTTTACTCTGGTACTCAAATCTTGGGGGAAAAGAAAGAGCAATTCAGAAGTTCCTATTATAAAAATTCTAAGCTTCCTAACTGAATAGAGTTGCAAAACTGATTGTGCTTTTTTGTCTAAATTAGCCAGCTGTAGATGTTCTTCTGAAAGTTTTTGAACATGTGGCTTCTTTGAATATAGGAGATGCTGTGCCTACATTAATCAGTACCTTTTGTAAGGTATGTTTGACTGTAATACTGCTATTTGTTGAAGTTTGTGAAATACCTTGCCTGTTTTAAAACCCAAACATAACACTTCAATATTATTTCAGTGCTGTTTTTTAAAAGTTAATCTGTGACTAGCTGGATTTGTGATACAGGTTTCCATTTATCCCTTACTTTTTAACTGAGATTCACTGTAACGTGTTTTTCCCACTGTTGTTTGTCACTTTCCTCTGGAAATATGTGAATGATCACAATTTTTTGTATGTTTACTTTTCTTCCCCTGTTTGATACTACAGCTCATTGATGCTGGTATGTTCCTCAAGTTTGAGCATTTTGACTATATTATTAAGTTCCTTCACCAATTGCAAGTTTCCCATCGGGAAATAAATATTGTTTTGAACATAAAATCCAGGTATGTCTTTAAGGAGCTATTTTATATCTGTCTAGTACCTTTGTTGGGTTCAATTTTTATAAATTGATGTAAAAACTTTAAAAGGCAATTAGAAAATGCAAATTTGGTGTTTTGGATGAAAATACTATCATATCATGTCTAATTGTATTTTAAAGTGCTGTCGATCTACTGTGCTTAAAAGGTCAAGGATTGTTAAATCAAAACTTAGATTCTGAACGCAGTAATGTTCAGTTTTTCCTTATTGATCATCGCTGTACATCTGTTTCCGAGTTTATATAAGTGTAGTCAAACTAGAAACATCATGATTTAATATATCATTTAGGCCTACATAAGCAAATGGTACTTCTACAATAAACAACTCTTCTAGGCAATAAGAAGATTAGTTATAATCTGAAGTAGTTTTCTACTTTTGTTTACTGTACAATGGCATAAACGCACCAACACAACTAGGGAGAGGGCTCGTTTTTTTAAGTAATGCTGGATTATACTGGGCAAAATGTGAAATCACAGCCCAAAACTGTGTTGATGATGATTGCACAAGGTTGTGGTCCTTTTTTTTTTATCATCTGCATCATATACTTCATAGAACAACCTTTGATTCTTAGAGGAAACCAAATATACAGCATCTACTGTGTGAAAATATGCCATCACTGTTTCAGGTGAAAGCACTGTAGAAATTATTTGCTGCTTTTCATGCTTTCCGCATATGGTACCTTTAAGCCATGGATCTCAGTGTTTTACTAGTGCAACTTACTACACATGTTGGAAGTAATTTTTATCACTTTTCAGATCAGAAATCTGATTCACCGAGGAATGACCCCTTCCAGGGTGCCTCAGTATGTATATGTTTTCAGCACAAACAGTCTATATCTATAAAGACTAATCGGCTGTGCTACTTCAACTACATGTATTAGCTCATTCATGTGTAGGTTATGTATCTCAGCATGATAGCATCGCACTGGGTAGATGTATCCATTGTTTCAATGGCAGCATCAGAATAAAGTATTATGCTCCAGGAGATTTGAAGCTGAACAGCACTTTTTTTCGTGTAATTAACTTTTTTCCTTACCCTTATGTCAGAAATACATACAATACAGTTCTGAATTTACTTAATGGATTACAAGTCTTGTTCATACCTTTTCAGTTACACTTTTACTGAGACAAGGGAATATTTTCTGTGAAAACAGCTCTGCTCAGTTATTTGCTTGGTACAGGTACTGACTTCCCTTGGCATAACTGTCTGTTTTCAGTGTCGAGTTTGAATAGTGTGTAGTAAATAGGATCAAGAATCACATCAGTTTTTAGTTCATATATGAAAATTTGTTGTTCACCTTCTGCTAGTACATAGTTTAGTTCAATAGGATGTGTTAAAATTAAGTAATAATATTTTTTTCTTCTGGAAGATTTCAGGAAAGACATCTTGAAGAGAAGTGGCTTTTTAACTTCAACTTGGCAGTGGCTGAAGTTCAGGTACAGTATGTGCATTTTTCAAGCCTGTTGGAATACTTAACAATGACTAGTTTTAAACCTACAAGAAATAGCAATTTCTACATCATTTAAAATTAATGGGCTTTATTATTAAGTATATTGGGATTATGATAGAATATTTTTATGCAGAGCCATATTTGGGAAAGATTAACATGCAGGGGAAAACTATCTTTGGCTTCTCTGTGATGTCAGTATTTTATTTTACATAATTGTAGTTTTTATCTTGGTTTTGCATCTAATTCAGAGATTTTAAAACTTTAAGCAATTATTTTCTATGCCTTGCATTTGTTGTGCTTGTAATTGGTAGTGGTACCTCATTCCTCACCAAAAAAATTATTTAATGTATTATTTAGCAGATAGAATTCAAGGCATAGTTGTAAAAGGCTATAATTGGCAACACTAAGAAGGTATTTTAAAGAATAAGAAAATACTATAAAAATTCTTTAATTGCACATTTGCATCTTTCATATGCAAGGACAAATTACTTATTATGCACAGTTATCATATAATTTATATATTATCACATGCTGCACAGATCCTGAGACCAAAATTTAAGAAGGGAAGAACCAGAACTGAATTTTTACTCCTTTAAAGCCAAAGTCATCAAGTGATCTGGCAAGCAAAAAACTAATTTGTATAGAAAATAACCATCAATTTGGCATGCATCGTGGAAAAAAAAAGTTAGTAAGAACTGGATGAATGCCAGTTCTTAAATAGGATGAATAAGTTATGAACTTCCCTAATTGGGGTCATGACATAAATGCAAAAAGAATTTTAATTTCTTGAGGGACAAAAGTGATTAGCAGTCCATGCAAGTTAGGCAACATGTTACTGTGGCATATTGAACATGGACATTCTTGGCACTATTGTTTCATCTGCATCTTTTTTCTGCTTTAAGTCTTTTCCGGGTGTATCTCAAATGTCAATATATTTTCTGTTGGTGTTCTGGAAGCAGGTTGGCTTATATTTATCCTTTGCCTTTTTTTCAGCATTGCAAGGAAAAAAGTGATTGGAATAAGCTGGGAGCTTTGTATGTCAGTGCGAGAACTGGATGTGAACATTCTGATGATCTTCAGAAGTTGTCTTTATGTATTGCTGAAATACTAATCAAAGATTCTGAGACAGACAGACAAGAAGTTCCTTTTTGTGATTTTGCTGATGCAGGTAAAATTAAGATGCATCCCTGTTCTTTGTAGAGTTTTTAAAAGAGGTAAAAAACCAAATTTGTATACTGTTTTCTGGGTATTAGTTAATTTTGTATGTTACAATATTCAGAATTTCTTGAGGTACAAATACAATTGGCTAAAATACTTAATATAAGCCATTTTCTAGTAGAAGTAAAATCCACAGTGCTTACACTTAGAAGTCAAAGAAAGTTCTGAAAGAAGAATATATGAGGTTTGTGAAATCAAGAAAAGAAACCTAAAGTGGTGGTCTTCTGTTAAGAATGTCCTATTCTCAGGACAAATATATTTAAATACTGTCATGTGAAGTGTCACACTCTTAAAAGCATAAATAAACTTCAGAACTGTAAATACAAATATATATATTTGTATATTTCATAACACACTGAACATGGTTAGATCATGTATATAATTTGGTTTTTGGTTGTTTGGGTTTTTTTTAGTAATTGCAATTTTCAGAATTATTTCATTCTCTAAAGAACCAAGAATTTCTGCAAGGGCTGGGTCCATAAAACACCTAGTTTTTTAATAGTTCTGGCAGGTTTTCTTATACCTTTCTTCCCTATGCCCCTTCATTTACATATCTGTATCATTTTTCCTAATAAGTTTGCAGAAAACTGAGGCTCAGTGAGGTGTCAGTGGGATATTAAAACACTTTGTAATGGATGACTCAGATCTCTTTCAACCTGTATTAACTACTAAGACATGATGAATATTTATTCTAGATATGTGGCATGACCTTTCTGATCACAGACTTGTATTATAAAACACCTATTACAACTTCTAGCTGTGACACTGAAAATTTTGATGGGGCTTGGAACTTTGTCTTCCCTAGAGCAGTGGTCTCCAAACTGATAGGGGTCTCTATCAGTAAAAAAATTTTGAGCACTTACCTCCTATTTATTTATTTATAAATTATATACATGTACTATTGCACTGATATATTAAGTATATTATAAAACATACAGAAAAATAAAAATTAAAAGGATGAGATAAAGATGAAATAAACACTAGTTTTTAAAATATTTTATTTATTTCTTAATGGTACAAAAAAATATATTCTTCCAACATCCAAGTGGTGTGTTGTGCTCATACCGCTCTGAAGACCACTGCTCTAGAATGCCAACAGTTCTTCCAAAGTGGTTGTATAATATGGTTGGAAAAAATTGTAATTACTCAGTTCTGTAATTGCCAGCTGTTCTTCATGGTGCCAGAAAATGCAAAGCCTACTTTACAAACAATGATGTTACTAAATTATGCCATTATATGACTAAGCATCTTATGGATGAATTAGACTACTATGAAATAGTTTCTGAATAAACTAGAGTTATTTACCCTACGTCAGGTGTTAAGACTTGGAAAGTTACTACTTTTAATGGCAAATATTTCAGAAAGTATATTTAATACTTTTACAATGACTGTGTTTTTCAACTGTGTACTGCATTTACATGTAAAATTAAAATTTTTTTTTCTTTCCAGTAATAAAAAACTCACAACATAATGAAGCAGATAGAATTTTCATTGGAAGGACTGGGATAAGTGTAATGTGTTCTTACCACAAAGTACTGAAGTGGAGAAAGGTATACTGGACTATAGGAACCTGACTGCAAGAAAAAGAATGAGTCATTTCTTTTCTACATGTTAAAGTGTGTTTCTCTAGTTGAATGGCTGGATGTGCTACCTGCCTTCGCACCATTTTAGTACTTCTTAACTGTCCAGATGGATCAAAGCATTTTATTTTGCCTTTCTGAGCAGTAGTCTACTATGGAGCCCATCATAACTTTGTCTTGCAACCTAGAAACTTGATTTGTTCAGGTTCAGCTTTTGACTTTTCTGAGATAAGGATGAATCTGGATTAGGAGACAGTTCATCCTGAGATATTGGAGCAAGGTGCTGGTGGGATTGTTTCCCAGAATCACTTTCTTCTGTCTGGCAATACTGCTGTATTTTGAGACTTCCCGACTCAAGCAATATTTACAGGAGTTTGAGTGGGCCCTTTCCTGCACTGATGCTTCTGAACCTGACCTCAAATGGAATGGATAAGGCCAGGAAGACAGAAGTATAGCAAGGCTGCTACTGCACTTGGTGAACTGCTCATTCCCCAGAATGTCACTAGAAGTGCTTTTCTTCCATTCAATCTAGGGTTGTAAGATCTGTGAATCTTGCAAAAACCCAGACCTCACAAAGAAAGGACCTTTACAATCCTTTCTTTGCTATCAAGTATTACAGAGGGCCACAGTTAAGAGACTAGACCTTTCACTGGATGTTTTACATTCTTTAGGCCTCACGTAGTATTGATCATAAGTTCACTACAGCAAGATCCGTTTCAATGTTAAATTCATGTTTTTTTCCTGGAAGAAAGCAGTGTATCAAGCTGGATCTCCTGTACAATGCAACATGACCAGTGACAGCATAAGAAATAATATAAACCACCAGTGATTTTGGAGTGTATTTTGGTCAGTGATCATATTCTGAACTTACCTTTGTATCAGTTGGCCTGATCTTTACAATTAGTAATTACACTGTACAGGGATTTTCCTCATCCCATACAAGATGGTTTATAGCATGTATTTTTGTGAACAAAAGCAAACACTCTCCCCTTTTGTCTCTTGGATTTTTTTTGTGAATTGAGGAACCCTTTCTGGTTTGCATGACTTGTCTCTAGGTGATGACCCTCAGGAATTTTGTTATGCAAAACCTGTGCACTGCTCAGTCTGCTTCCAGAATCAACCCAGGTCCCAGGAGATATTTGATAAGAGGTGCTTAGTCTAGAAGCACTACATCCATTTTAAGGAATCATTAATTTTGCAGCATCAACTTGTTGAGCTGAATGATCTTTAGCAGGTTCCTATCAAGCTGCAACACAATGTGGTATTGTTGAGGAGTAAAGGGAAAGAGATACGGTCTTTGCATTAGCATTTTTGTAGTAATGCACTAGACCTTTTTTAAACATTTTTGTTCCACAAAACTCAGCAGTTACAACAGTGAAGTTATTCCTGGCCATAGAATAGGTAGTCTAAATTTGTGGCATTGAGGAGTGGACAGTGCTCACATACACATCAAAGAGCTTTGTTTGGCTTGGATTTTGTTTGTTGTTTTCAGCAGAGACAGCATGTATTCAGTGTTTGTAGGGAAATGTCTTTAGACATTGTAGCAGTTTTTGAGATCCATCTTAAGGGAGATCCTGATATTTGGGTTGCAGGACCTCTGATATTCCAAAGAGGTTTATCTTCATGTCCTGATTTCAGAGGTGCAAGTTGTCAAAAGCATGTGTAGTGTTCCTCTTGTATAACAAGGAATTACTGAAAGTAAACAGTTCTTACGATACTATGATATTTTCATGTCTAGAGCAAAAGATTATTGCTTCTTTGAGAAATGTTGTGTTGGGTGTCAAACCACCTCTCAACAGACTGCTCACCAAGATCCTCACCAACAGTCTTATACACAACCTGTGTTGACCATATGGGAGGGTGAATGAGGCTGTGCTCTGAATGATTTTTATCAGAACTGGTAGATGCCAAATTGATCTCTGCTTCAGGGATGAACTAGAACTGTCATTCCTATCGTACTCCAACCAGTTTCACTCTGTTATATGTACTGGATAAGTCCTTAATACTGTGGTTATGGGCTAGTATCTGCTTGATCCTGTGTCTTGTGTCTTCCAAAAAGTGGTCCAGAAAATAAGGTAGTAATGGATTTGTTCTTCCTGCTATGCCCAAAGTAATTTTGGCTTTAGGACGTGCTTTATGCCATTTTATGAATATGTTGGACCACCTAAACCTCTAGATGTGCTTTTCAGATCACGTTCCCTTCATGAACATCACATCTCTTTATCACATGGTTTTCATGCTTTCTGGCTCTCAGGGGTAAAGTACATATGCTTCTTGGTCCTGAAGAGAATATTCTTTGCAAGAGCTAAGGAAAGATCATAAAACAGATGTACTTTTCAAATGCAAATTGGAAAGATGTGAATAGGTCTTCTATGGAGGCAGCTCTTCAAGCAACACCAGACTGCTTTCTGGATATCTACTTGTAGAGAATCCTGCAACATTAATGCTCCTTTGGCAATTATTTAATCCACTTCCTATTTTAACTATTTCGTATCTTGAAAGACTTTGCTGTGGCTTGTTTTTACCCAACTTATTACCTCAGAGGATTGGGTTCTTGTCCAGTTAAGGATCTCATTCCACAACTGAATTTCACTTGGGTGCCCTTCCTTTATAGATCATTTATGCTTAAAGCTGCAAGCTTTCCAAAAAGACCCACTTCTTAGTGGTCCTTCCTTCTGCTAGAAGGATGGAATAGATGCAGATCTTCCTTAATTTTGTATGTTGTCTGGTTTGCACTTAAATTTCAAATTTCTACTGTCAGAATTTCACCTGAGTCTTTCTGGTACATACTTTTTCCCTTCAACCACATAAACCTGAATGGGTTCTTTACACCTTAAATGTTAACTGCAATGATATAGTTAGTATTCTTTTATTTGTTGTGCTGTGATAAACCGTTGTAGATAACTGTAGGCCTTCAGAAGTCTCCAGTTTTGAGCATATGTCAGTCCACAGTAGGTATGTGCATATGCATATTTACAAAAAATTAGTTTCTTAATTAGTAAGTTTCATTTTCTGTCGACTTCTCTGTTCTCCTAAACTTCCCTTTCCTTCTACCTCGGCAACTCTTGTTCTGCCACCACAATGCGGGCACACACATGACCACGATTTTTAACTTAGTATTCATTAGAAATTTTACTATACTTCCTTTTTTTTTTTCCTGTTTCAGTTTAGATAACTAAACTGATGCCTATAAATCTGTATCACCAGAGTAAATCCACTGTATTTTGTGTAGATATACTCTGTGTTCACTGATATAATTGCTTTCTCTGACCATCCTCCTTTCCCTTTTGTGCTAGGGAAGGATGGTTTTGGATAAATTGTATGAGCTACAGATAAATTTTACAGTCTTGAAAGGATTTACAGGTGCAGAGAGGTTAGCATCAAGATGTCAAATTGTTAATAAAGCTGCAGAAATTTTTCTTAAAACTGGAAATTTGGATGGAGCAACACGGGTATTGAGAGGTAAGCTTGTCTTATAAAAACCCTGAGATTTGACTTAAATTTGAACAGTCCCCTTCTGTAACAGATTTCAGATAAAAGGTAAAAGCTGGTCTGTGTTATTAAATAAAGTTAATACTGGAACAAAAAAAATGTGATGCATCTTACTGGTTAGTATTCTTTTTGATAAGTATTAAGAAATATTATGACTAATACCAAATTTTTTTTAGAAAAGTTTTCACAGTAGTCTGCCATCAGCACCATTCCACTCAAAAGCCTACCATAATAAGGAAAGGGTGCAACTTGGAAAGTGACTCTGCCCCATGTATATTTCCTTTGAGCCAGGTGATATTCAGTGTAAAAAAATTTTCAGGCTTGTGTCAATGTAGTGTTCCTTTACCCCTCACAGTATCCACATTTAGTAAAATAGGTTTAGAATAGTACCATATTTCTGCAATTAAATAACGCATAGTTACTGGCTTTTTGAAATTCTGATCTGCTGAAAAAAGAAACTGAAAAGGGTAAACAAGAATAGAAGGTGTTCTGTAAAGTAATACTGAGGATCTAAAATTTGCTATTCGATTTTATATATGTACATATTTATATATGTACATAGATATATATACATATTTATGTACATATATAAAATTGAATAGCAAATTTATATATGTACATAGATATATACATATTTATGTACATATATGTGACAGTCCATTTTACTACTGTGATATTTAATAAAAGAGGTTATTTACAACTGAAAAATAGTGGTGATAAGGAACAACTTAATAACAACTAGAACTGCATTTTCTGAGAAATTCTGAAATTTGTTTTCTGCTGCAGAATATTTCTAATGGCCAAAAGTCTTCAGTGTCAATCAGTTTCAGTTCATAGAAGTAACACTGCACTGTTGTTTGCCACAGAGTCAGAGTGGACCACAAATGCACCATTGTGGCCCTGTGATGAAATGGACATCATCAATCGACAGAATCTGTTATATATACTAGTGCACAAATACTTGAGGAGGAGTTTATACAGGCAGGCATTTGAAGTTCTGCGGAACTTACCAGGTTTTCAAAATTATTCTGGTAAGTAAAGAAAAAGGTACTGTGTTAAGAGCTAAAAATTTAATGGATGATTCTGTACTATTCTGTTTCTTTCCCAGCTAAAAGTTGTTGAAGAAGTAAGATCATTTTAGACAAGCCAATTTTTTTTTCCAAAGATCGTATTGTCAGTTAAAATATGTATTGTAATGTCAGTTAAAATATATATCGTACTCTGCAGATTTTGCCGCACATGCACGCACACACATGCACATACACACATACACATGCACAGAGTTTATACACCTGTCCTCTTTTTCCAGTTGTCTCAGTTACACAAGGCAAAGGAAAAACCCACTACATTTTTAAGGATCATGCACAGTCTGTACCATAAGCTAAAATAGGGATATCATTGGAGTGATTAATTTTATCTTAAGCTCAGATGAATACATTTGGTTTTTTTCTATAAGTGAGCCAGAAAACCTAGGCTTCTTTCACATATCATGTTAAAACCAAGTGCTCTTTTGGACTCAATTTATCTGGCAAATTTTCGATGGGTACTTGATATGTAGTTACTTAGGCTGCACTCAGGAAACCTCTGCTGACTGATGTGTGTAGGTGTCAGTCCTTTGCCAGTGTGTGCTTCTAGGTAGATTAGGAGGGCTGAGTTGGAAGACTCTCTACTTACAGAATCCTAAAAGGATCTAGTCCGTTGAGGCATGAGGTGGATACAAGGCTACTAAGTCCTGCCAAGAAGGGGACAGTTGAGAGGAAGTGGACAGTTCAGAGTAAGAGAAGAAGCAGAACTTGAAGTACCAAAGTGATTTTATTTGTGCAAATTTTAAGTCTGAGAGATCAGGTGAAGAATGTATTTATAGACTTGGGCAGGTGAATGTGTGTTTATCTGATCCTGATGGTTTTGGCAGCAAATTACTGTTTGGACTTTAACACTTTCACAATGTAAATGAACTAACATTATGAAAACACTTTTGGTGAACAAAGCATTATCACATGTTATCTCAACTTCGATCCATTTTGCTGATAGAAGCAAGAGTCCTGGTTTAGGTACTGATTGAGAAGCAGTTCTTCAATTAGATTTGCATTTGATTTAATTCAGTAGTTAATATTCTTCTTTCATTTCAGATACTGTAGCTGTTTCTCAGTACAGCTGCCTTTTTAACAAGCTGTTAAATGCCTGTTTTGAGAGCAAGAACCTTGGGGTCTCATCTTCTGTAGTAGACTTCATGCTTTCCAAAAACATAGCTATTGAATTTTTTTTACTTAGAGGATTAATCACAGCTTTGGGAAGAAGTTGCTTGTGGTCTAAAGCTAGGACCTATTACAAAAGTAAGTTGCTTCTTAAACAATATCTTTCCCTTATGTTCTTTGAACATCATGCTTATAACAGCATGTTATGTTGGGGAGAAAGGGGTAAGAGTACTTTGTAAGATCAAAACAGTGCTTTCTGTGTCAGTCGGGAATTTATTTGTAACCAAGTTTCTTGGGAAATAGCGACAGTTGAAAATCTGATGACTATGTACTACCTGGCATGAAATGAATGCAATTCTGATGAAATTAATTTTTTATGTTCAGTTTCAGATTTTCAAAAATGTGAACCCTGAAATGGTTTAAAAGTGCATCATCTTCACTTTCTCATCTAGGCAAATTAGATTTCTTTATACTTCTGTTTAGAGCTGTGGTGGTAAAATTATTAATATTTAAGATTTCAGAGGTCTAGCTAAGAAGTTTATCCTAACTAAAAGAAAATTCCTTTCAAATAAAAGCTAAAAGTCTGAGTGTTTTCAACTCCCCACTTTCGAGCTAAGATAACACTGGGTGTGTCGCCCTGATAGGGTCTACCAAGAGCCATCTCTCCATATTGTCACATCATTTACTGTTTGATCCGTTTTAGAATTGTGGCGGTTAATAAGCTTAAGGAGTCCATCCCTCCCATCCTGGAAATTATTGGTTTTCCTGACCTCTTTTTTTTTTTTTTTTTTTTTTTTTTTTTTTTTTTAAATGCTGTATAGGTTGGGTCTTCTGAGATCACTTGGCAAAGACAGGGGAGCAAAGGGGGAGATGCTTTTCAAATGTCCTCTCACTGTGATCAGTTAATAGAGCTGCTGTCTGACCTGTCATAAATTGTACTTGTGTTATGATGCACTTGCAGTCCCTGGACTTCTGACAGGTTTTTAATCATTGCTGATAATATTCACTGATAAAAATAACATTTTACAACAGTGAATATTATGAGTAAGTACTGTTTGTTGTTTTCAAATCAGGCCATCTCACAGGTGAAATAGTAAAATCCATTAAGAGTTTGGGGTTGTTTTCTTTCCACATTCTTAGCCACATACTGAAGAAAACAGATCTATGTTCAGTATTTGTAATCCTAATTCCTTACATTTCTGCATTTACTCTCAGGTGCTTTATTATGGGGTTGCTACCCACCAATGCAGGGAAATTCATATCAGAAACTTTTGATGATTCCATCTTATCTGTCTGAGGTTGAGATGCTGTTGAGAATGGAAATGTTTCTTGTTTCAAATGCCTGTGATATTCAAAGTCCAATTGCTATTCGTCAGACTCTTCAAATAATACTGAAAAGGTTTGTTGTCAGATATGTACCATTTTGATTATACTTATCTGTGGGATCATGTAATTAATGAGAGATCTTACTTTCCATTGGCTAGGAAAGAGAATGTTTGGTTTTAAACTTGTTTTTAATCTGGTTATAGAACAGTAAATGTTTGGGCATTTTTTACTATTATTTTTACATGTGTATAGCAGAAAAGTAATTGTTCCAGAGGGATATTGGTCTGTGTTCCATAACTGAATGTGCCTACTGCACTAAGAGTGTACTGTATTTTCAAAACCAGGATAGCTTGATATTTTGGTGTGTAGTTGCTTGTGTTGAGGTTAAGCAGTGGAGCAGAAGGGCAGAGTCAAAATGTTAGTCCTTTCAAAAAGCATCTCTAACATTTCTTGGCTGTTTTTTGAAAAGTGCATGAAGCCATTTTACTTGATTCTCTTTATAGGGGATATCTCAATAATAAATTTGTTAGGGATTTTTCCCCTTTCTTTGAGACTTAATACCTTCAGATGAAAATGTGTTTTGTTGCTTCTGCCTTTTGTCCATAAGCTACCAACCACTGTCACTAGATTATGCCTATAATTTATTTTTCAAGACGCCATTTTCTCTTGAGATTGACTGGCTCAGCATCAAAATGTGAAACTTCATAGAAAAGCTACATCTGTTAAGAAGGATGAACAGGGGCATCTCAAACTTGAGTACTCTGCCTTCCTTCCCAAGGAATACATCTCTTAATTTTGTTCTTTTAATAGATGAGAAGGTTTTTATCTCATTTTAATGTGTATGCTATTGTACCTTTGCTTGTTTGCTTAAAGAGTAAGTTCTGCGCTTGCAAAAATGTAGACATGTCACTTAGGCACATCCTTTTTCCAGAAGTGATTACATGCCAAAATTGAGTATAATCTTTTTGGATTCAAGCATGTACCTGAATTCTTGCTACATCCAGTTCATAAAATGGTTTACATTCCTTTACTGAATTTTCCAGCCCAGCGTTAAACATTTCTTCATGAAACGTGCTGTGATTATTGCAGACCTACTTTGCAGTGGCATTAAACTCTATTACTTTTGATTACCATAAAATACGTTTAAAATATACTTTTTCTAAATTCTTAATTCTTCAGAACAATTGCCTAAATTTGTCTAGAAATTAATCTAAGTGATGCAAACACAGTGCATTATTTTAATGTTTCTGTAATCTTGTTGCCAGTATAAAGCATCAAACAAGTGACACAGGGCCTGTATGGTACCTAATTTTGTATTTGTGGGAACTCACTTACAGATGTGAAGATCAGAAAGTTCAGAATAACAGTGACTATCACGCGGCAGTGGAGAGACTGAGTCTGGCTGCTCGTATATCTGATCCAAAGCTTATTCTTAAGCATATGACAATGAATATTAATATGGAAGAAGTTTACAGCTTGGAGCATACATCTGCTCTAAAATGGCTTCAGGAAAATATGAAATGGGCTGGGAAGGTCTGGCTGTTTCAGTAATCATTAAATAGTAAAGATCTTAGGGTTTTAATGGTTAAAGCAGTCATTGTTATAATACAGATTAATAAAGGCAGTTCCCATGTGTTCAGACTGTGCATTACTGATTTACAGCAAAGCTTCAAACTCAAGTTGTGTTTCTAAATACTTATATTGATGATAATGCAGATAGTAGCACAGTAGAAACAGTATTTTTTTTCCCTAACTGTATAGATTGTCACACTGACTTACACAAGTGTTTTGTAATGGCATCATTAGATAATGAGGAAGCTGCAGCCTCAGAACCTACATTCTCCTATTTTATGGAGAATCTAGCACTGTTACTCTTTTCCCAGCAGGTGATCATATGTAAGTGCATTGATTGAGTGTTATCTGCTGTTCTTTGGTGAGACTTTTTTCACGTTACTTCCAAGTCTGTAGAATACATGTTTCCTTTTGTCTTCCTCGCAATATCTTGTGAGGATATTGTTCCATCTGTGTGCCCCTTAGATCTTAATTTTCTTACTCCAAAAACCAAGTAAAAAGCACTGGGAATAACTTAACTTCAAAATCACTTGAGACATGCCAGACAGGATACCTTCCTTCACATAACTGAGAGAGTCTACACAAGTTGCTCACAGCTGAAGCTTTAGTTGTGTCTTGATAGTAACTTGTATATGGCTTCACATTTGTATATATGCATACTTCCACTGATACGGAAAACTTGCTTTCTTGATTGTGTTCTAAGAAGGAAGGTTTTGCCCATTTTTTAGTTTCTGCCAACTGCATGATGAGATGGAGGCTTCTAGCAAGCTGGTTCTAGCATTAGTGGTTCTTCAGGAATTCTTTTTTCTGCCTGCAAATCCTGAATCAGATTTGGAGCATGAATTATGTAAGTCACACTTCTTATACTGATCTGCAGCCTGAGTAGGAAGAACCAAACATTTTTTATTGGAAAACTCTTGTGACAAATCAGTGGGACCTCTGTCAAAGTTGATGCTTGCCTGAGCTCCCCACTTCTGTAGTGTTAATTTAGATCTCCAGTACCAACCTTCACAAACATGCCAGTAATACATCTCTTTTGGTCCTACTCTCCATCCCCTTTAGAGGTTTTTTGTGATGAAAATTTTTTCTCTCTTGGGTATAGAAGTTAATGGGTTTTTAAGGCTATTCTGTCTTAAGTGAGATCAAGATTGTAGCATATGCCCTCAGTGTTTGAAAAATCGTTCCCTCCTTTGGGGCACCATGAGTCTCTTCCCAGTTCCAGCAGCATTATTGCAGGTGTCCCTCATGCCTCTGAATCATGAAATCTGTCAGGATCTTAGCACTGGATGGTTGTGGAGGGTTTTGGAGGGATGTCCATGGTTCTTTGTTTGGAGGGGTAGACACCCTAGTCTTGAGGTTCGTGCCATTAACCTGATTGACAGTTGTTAGATTCCTGACCCTCTTCAGGGTCGGGTCCTGACCCTTTTTGATACCACTCTTTAACTAGTCTGTCTGGGAGTTGCTGCTGGAAGAGAAAGGATTGAATCTGGTGACCACCAGGGTCACTGCCTTCCTCCTATGCCACTTGTACAGAAAAATGGAAGAATAGAGGCTCCTTTGTTTTCATAGGGTATCATTCTTTAGTAAGTATTTCATTTGCTTTCTTTCTAAAAAATGGTAGATTCAGTACTAAAAATCAGATGGTGTTTCTTTAAAATCCCCTTACCTCAGAATTCTCCTTGAAGAACAGTTGGCACTAGTTCAAAGAGACTTTGGGTTCCACCACTTTGTGTTCACCAGGATGGCTCTGCCATTTGTAAGGCTGTTTACCTGGTCAAATCCAATAGCATTCTGCTACTTAGTTTCCCATTAGCTGAAAGACTGGGTAAGAAGTGATCAGGTTTCAGATGAGGTCTCTAAACTGTTGTTCTTCCAGCCACCCCAGCATTAGTGGGCAAGAGCAATTTTGGAAGGTGTCAGCAAACTAAAACTGGAAGTGAAAAACTAAGTCATTTTTTGCTAATTACTCATTGTAAGATCCTTTGTAGCTTAATCTCCCTTGGAATTAGACAGAGGCTATCTGAACCTCAGCTAAATCCCACATTTCTGTAAGCAGTACCACATGTGGCTAATACTGTTTGAGACACACAGAAGGACAGAATTCTCTTAGTAATCTATAGGACTTCAAAACTTGGGGTGTTCTAGAGACAGCATTATTTTTTCCATTATAAGCAACTTTGAATTTTCACTTGGATCATCCCCAGAAAAAAATTCCAAATGTTGCTTTGTTTTTCAGACAGAGGTTAATCATTGATCTTCTAGCTTAACTTGGAACTGTGTAAAATTGGTGCAACGTTTTGGCTCCATCTCCTGAGTATCATCCTCGGCTGAAGGATGCAATCTCAGTCATGTTTTATATTAACGAGCAAAGCAAGCTCCCCATATCATTGCTCAGAAGTTTTGCTACAACTGGTGGATCTCATGTTCTGTCAATACAGTGTTTCTCCCTATCACCATAGGGCTAGGCAATTTAAATAACAGTTTAGTTGTTAAGTCTGGTATTTCACATTTTTGTACCGTCTGGGTCCACTTGAAATACCGTACAATTTTGATGTGTATCAAAATACCAGGAAGGTTTCTTGAGCAACATTCTCAGTACTATTTTGGTGACAGAAATTCCATGTGCTAGACAAGACACAATCCAATGTAGGACAGAAACAATCCTGGAAAGATGAAAAAATATTCCAAACAAAGTTAAGTACAACAGACACTCGGTAGACAATATCCGTGGTTTTGCTTTTCCCCAGGTATAAGGTACTGTTTCTTAGTAGCTGAAAGAACTTCTGTGTTTGAGATTAAGCAACTTGTTTGATATATTTAATTTTTCATATAGGAAATAAAATGTATGTTTACCTGTTTTCAGAGAGACAGAAAAATGTGCAAAAGAACTTTCCTATGCTGCTCTCAGTAGCTAGGTCTAGACAACACTTCGCTCCTTCAGTATGTTGTTAGATGCATGAGGAATTCTCTTTGTGAAAATTTTTCTTCACTGATTACTACGTTTTTGGAAAGATTATTTGTGTTAGGTATGGACAGTTGTAACTTAACCAGAATAATGTTGTTGGGAAGACTTACCACAATTTTACTTCAAAGCACTGAGAGTTTCTTAACACACATTGGGGACAGTGTTGAGAAGCTGGAAATAGAAGCTTGGTAATTTTACAATGTTTTATAAAGAGCAATTGAGGAGATCATTTTGGAGTTATTAAGTTGTTAATAAATGTGTTCTTTATATGGAGTATTGAAAATATCTGTGAGTCGGTATTGTCATTAAATCATCTAATTCTGTTCAGATCCCTGTAATTAATACTTAGATATGCAGGAAGATGGGCAAATGTAGATGTGGAGAGTTTAGTATCTCCTAACTACTGCAAGAATCTAGAGCATGATGTGCTGCATGAGGAGGTTAAGAATGTGTGAAATCAGTCAGAGTACGCAGTTTTTCACCACATCATAGCACAAAACATATGAATAAATTGGGCTGAAGCTCCCAGCTGTGGACATGGCCAACTTCCAGTTTTAACTACAGAGTCGAGTGGAGGCTACAGCTAGGCCTATGGGCTGTGCTCAGTCTGCTGAAGAATTCTAATGGATGTTAGTGAGAGTTTCACATGAGGAGAAATAGTAAAATTATATGTCCCTGGTGTAGTAATCAAACTTTTAATTACTAAAATCTTAATGGCATACTCCTCAGCTTAGTAAAATATGGCCACATTAAGAGCATTTACTAGTTCATTTTTGTCCTTTCATGTTCTCCAGATACATCTTGCATCTTTGCAGGTTTGAGGTGGGGTTTTTTTGCAAATCCCAGGTCTGCATTTTTCAGTCATAACTATTTCTGCATAACTCTCTTCTAAAATGACTAGTGTGATGAGTAGTATCAAAAAATTAATGCTGATATTGGCCTCAGAGCTTCTGTGCCATTGTGTGTGATGGGACTGGAGAAACTGATGCGACTTTTGACCATCGGCAGACCAAGGACCAGAACAGAAACAAAGGATCAAGGAGAAAATGGTTCAGTTGCTGTTTGTAGAAGCTTTATTGGTAGTCAAAATCAAAACTTTTTTAGATGTTAATTTTATCTGGTATAAAACAAGCTTTCCATTCAGAAATGTCTTTGCAACTGTTGCTGAGACAGTGGGATGTATCCTGGGAACTGATAGGGAGTAACGAGACCAGATAAAGCCACTATACTACTCCCATGGAATACTGTGGTCATATTCATAAGCAGTAAGTTTTGAGATCTTTAGCTAAAAAGTAGAAATTCATTCCTGTGCTGGGGGGTGGGGTGCTCTGGCTCCCTGTCAAAGTACTTGCACTATGCAATAGAGCTGGTATCTGGCAGTGTCACCTGCTGATTACCTCTCCCAATTTATTTTATTCCTCACCGAGTTCAAAGAAATCCCAGGTGAAATGAACAACACGCTTTTCTGTTGAATCAATTAAATTTATTTTTTTCATCTGCATAATTATGCAACCAATTTGCTTACATAACTGATGGCTTCTGTCGGGAAGCAAAAAACATGCTGCACATTATGGAAATTATGCAAATCCCCCAAGGGTTGTGAGAGTGTTAACTTGATTTAAAGCTTCACTGAACTACAGATAGTGCCTAAACCATGTCAGTCCTCTTTTTAACCTTTTCTGCCTGGAATGGCAATAGATGATGTGCGAGTAACTCCAGTCCCCAACAGTTAATCTCCCTTTGTTCTGAAACTCATCAGCAATAAACATTTTTGCTCTGTTGCATGTCTCTGCATCAGATGCTTCTTGACACCAACTACCTTGGGAGAAAAACATGTATAAATGTAGGTATCCATAGAGCATTAGTAACTGCAGGAAAACAGCTCTTGCTTTTCTTCATGGAACTGCAGAGCCCACGGTTGGTTCTTTGCCCACTTGGTGGTTTCCTTCTGGAGAACAAAGGAATTGTGAAGTGGGCGCAAGTATGCAGATAAACCCCTTCCATCCCCTTAGCAAAAGAGCAGCGATTCCTTGGTTCAGATATTTCCCTTCTACGTCCCTGAGTAACAATTGTGGACCCACTCTACTATTAGAAGCAGGAGACGCTGAAATGAAAGGGGACCGGCTTCTCTGCATCGTGTGTTTCAGGCCTTTTGAGAACACGGCTGCGAGACCATCATTCAGCTTTACCAGAGGCAGCGGCAGCACCTGAAGCATGAGATCAAAAGCTGTTACGTGTTTCTTTCTCCGGTACTGACGAGTAACACTTACGAAAGCTCCCGCACGGCTGCGGGCCCCCACTGCAGCCCAAGGCGCCATTTTCGGGGGTGGGGGGGTGCGGCGAGCCCGCGGCGGCCCTGAGGAGCAGCCTGCGCACGGCTGACGGC